CAGCGACTCAGGAGGCTGAGGCAGAATTGCCTGAAACCGGGAGGCGGAGGTTGCGGTGAGCCAAGATCGGGCCATCGCACTCCAGCCTGGGTAACAAGAGCAAAACTCCGTCTCAAAAAAAAGACTGAAGCAACAATATCTGGCAAATAATGTGGCCTCCAATAGATATATAAGAGTATGGCACCTAATTAGCTTGGGGGCAAGATATCACAAATAGCAAAAGAGGCATTCACATTTTGAAATATAATCTCTGAGCACAAACTTCAGCACAGGACAAGTCCAACTGTAAGCAAGTTCCACATTGAGTACTGGCTTGAAGTCAATCCTGATTTAAAATCAGTTAATAACTGCACCTAAAGAATATGAGCTATAGGCCGGGTGCGGTGGCTCACGCCTGTAATCCTAGCACTTTGGGAGGCCAAAGCGGGCAGATCACAAGGTCATGAAATCGAGACCAACCTGGCCAACTTGATGAAACCCTGTCTCTACTAAAAATACAAAAATTAGCTGGTATGGTGGCGCGCACCTGTAGTCACAGCTGCACAGGAGGCTGGGGCAGGAGAATCACTTGAACCCAGGAGGCAGAGGTTGCAGTGAGCCAAGATCACACCACTGCACTCCAGCCTGGCGACAGAGCAAGACTCAGTCTCAGGAAAGAAAAAAAAAAGAATACAAATTTATCTAACAGCCACTGGCAAGAAACTTCAAAGTGTTGGCCTTCTGGAAGCAGCAAGTAGCAAACTACCATAAATGAGCCTAAAATTATTATCTTCATTAGGCTTAATCACTGTCTTAAAACTACACCATTTAACTAAATTTCCCTTAAAACCTTAAAGGTACCAGAATAAAGCACAGGATCCCAAGTCTTAAGATCTAGTCCAAGCTCTAACTTTGCTGTGAATAAACCTTCAGCAGGTCATTTAATACACTTCATTCATTTCTTCTGTAAAATAGAAAAGGGCAGAGATATTTCAAGGAATCAAAACTAACAGTGGAAAAATGCAAAATTCCTAAATGAAACATGGCCAACCTCTTATTAAGAACTAAATAAAGGGTCGGGCGCGGTGGCTCAAGCCTGTAATCCCAGCACTTTGGGAGGCCGAGGCGGGTGGATCACAAGGTCAAGAGATCGAGACCATCCTGGTCAACATGGTGAAACCCCGTCTCTACC